GTTCCTGCCAGGGAGACGCAAACAGCCAGAAGGTCCCCAGAACCKCCTTTTCCCCAAAATCCCACCCCAGAATCCGGCCTGGATCCCATTCCCGGCTCCCAAGGAATTCCAGACTCACCTCGATGGCCGTGCGCTGCAGGACGGGTTTGATTCCCTGTGGCACCATGTAAAYGTTGGGCTCCCGCTGGGGCGGAGGGTAGGGGAGGTCAGAATCCTCGGACTGTGGGAGCAGAGAGGGAAAGGAAACATCAGGAGATCGTGGAAARGATCCAGGATGAGCAAAAGTCAACGTGGATGAGGCCAAAAAAAGGCCGAACAAAAAAAAAAAAGTCTGGAAAAGATTCCCAGTTTCRATAATCCAAAGGTAAATCGCAGAGTTTGGCAGGGATTTGGCCCAAAAAATTTCCAAGAAAAATGGAGGAGAAGGACGGGGCCAGCCTGGTTCTTCAGGTGCATCAGGAGCTCTGGAGATCACAGCATCCAACCTGGATTTGGATCTGGGATGAGTGAAAATCAACACAGATGAGGTAAAAAAAAAAAAAGAAGTCTGGAAAAGATTCCCAGTTTAAACGATCCAAAGATAAAAAGATTGGGAAACCTCCCAAAAATCGGGACTGAGGGACGAACCACAGGATCGGGGCGGGAAAATGAATGGATTGGTGCCCACAGAGCCTCCGGTTTTCTGGCTCCTCCCCAGAATTCCTATGGCTGGAGAAGCGCTTTTTCGGGAGTTTTGGCTTAGGAGATGGAATTCTTCTCCCAAAAAAATGTCTGGAAAACATTCCCAGTTTCAATGATCCAAAGGTAAATCCCAGAGTTTGGTGGGGATTTGGCCCCAAAAAATTTCCAAGAAAAGAGAAGGAGAAGGATGGGGCCAGCTTGGTCCTTCAGGTGCATCCATGAGGAATTTTCCCAGGGATGGGAACTGAGAATTTCCTTCAGAACATTCCGGCACATCCTCAATCCACAGCAACTTCCCCATGGGAAGTTTGGGAGTGGGATTTCCCAGCCCAGCAGTGCAGCTCTGCCATGGTGGGATTGGAAGGATGGGACACCTCATTCCGGACACGGAGAAAAGCCCATCCTGCAGGGGGTCACTCAAATTCCCAAAATCCCGGTGGTCCAAGCTTGACCGATCCGGGAAAAAGCTGATTTCCCAGAGGAAGCAAATTTTAACAATTTTGGGATGAAAAAGCCACAGAATTCCCAAAGACTCACCTCATCCAGGCTGGAGGAGAGCTCGCTCTGGGAAAGAGGAGAGGACG